GGCTTACGTTTTCCCCTACTGGCCTTCAAATTCTGCGTAAGTCTCCATATGAGCAAAGATCCTTCGGGGACATGAGCTTCAGAAAACCATGGCCTAATTCATTTCTATCTTCCTTCCTTCCTTCCTTCCTTCCTTCCTTCCTTCCTTCCTTCCTTCCTTCCTTCCTTCCTTCCTTCCTTTCTTAATTCTAAAATTTTCATACAATCTATTTTGATGTTCCCCTCCTCCAATTCCTCCTAGATCCTTCCCACCTCCCTACCTACTCAACTTTATGTTCTCCCCACCCCGCCCTCTTTTTTTTTCAGTTGTTTGAGACAGGGTTTCTTCTGTGAAATAACTCACCCTGGCCTCGAACTCACAGAGATCCACCTGCCTCTGCTTCCTGAGTGCTGGGATTAAAGGCGTTCGCCACCACTGCCCGGCCTTTTTCCTCTCTCTTTAAAAAAACAAAACAAAATAAGAAACACACACACACACACACACACACACACACACACACACACACACACACACACACAAAACAACAGAAGTGGAAATAAACAAGTAAAAGGCCAACAAGTCAACAAAAGCCCAAACAAGGTAAAATGAGACAAAAAGTTTACAAGTACCGTATCGCTTGTTTTGTGTTAGTCATCTACTCCTGTGCATGGGGTGGGGCCTGCCCTGAAGTGTGGTTAATATACCCTGTGCGACGCCATTGGAGAATGCTGATATTTGCTGTGCCCATGGGTATCAATTAGAGATAGCCTCTCGGTTAGGGGTCGAAGCCCATGTTCACGTCTTCCCCTCAGTGCTGGGACCCTGTCTGGACTGAGCCTGTGTAGGCAGGCCTTGTGCATGCTGCCACAGTCTCTGTTAGTTCATCTGATCATCAGTCCTGTTGTGTCCGGAAGACACTGTTTTCTTGAGCTTATGGCTCTTACAGTCTTTCCATGTCCTCTTTCACATAGATCCCTGAGGGGAAGACTTGAATGTGAACACCCCATTTAGGACCGAGTGCTCCAGGTCTCTTACTCTCTGCACGATGTCCAGTTGTGAGTGAGACACTGATCTATGAGTATAGCAGAGTGTCATTAGGAGTCATTGTACTGCTATCTTCCTTCAGCAGAATAGTAGTGTGAGGTTTTCCTCTAGGCTCATGACTTATCTATTCTCGGGTTCTTGGCCACTTTAACGGTGTTGGTTATGGGTTCCATCTCATGGAGTGGGCCTTAAATCCATCAGAAAGTAATTGGTTACTCCCAACTTCCCTGAAGTCGGTCAGGTTCCAATTCCTAGAACCTGTAAATGCACAGCAAAGGGGACTCAGATTGCAGATGGAATTAAGGCTGTCGATCAGCTAACATAAAGTGAGGAAGAGTATCTGGGGTGACCTGGGAAGTCACAATGGAGTTACAAGGATCCTGGCAGAGAAAAGAGGAATAAGAATTAGAGTCAAAGAAAGATATGACCTCAGAAAGCCAAGCAGTGATAGGAGAAAGACTCACTCACCTTCTCCAGCCATGAAAAATGCCCTGGAAGCCATGAAAAAAAAACAGAAATGGGTTCTTTCTCGGACCATCACCCTCCAGAAGGAGCTCCACCAATCCTCTCTACACCTGGACTTTAGCCTTATGAGACCCATTCCATATTTCTGATACCCAGAGCTGCAAGGTAATTTTCTGCTATTTCCGAAGCTAAGTGTGCAAGGTACACTACTGCAGCAACAAGTCTGCACACACTAAATCCATCCCCTCCAGAGCGTGAAAAGACACCAGGACTCCCCTAGAATCCAAAGGACGAGACTGGAGCATTCAATTGGTAAACAGCTGGTTTGGGGGTGGCCAGCACCAGGCAAACTCTTACTAACAGGGCTGTGAGCAAGATGCCCCTTGCTTCTCTCTCACATAAAAAGGTGGCCAGTCCACAGCTGGCATGGTATCTTTACACTGCCATCAAGAATGCAGATTTTGGACCTGGAGAGACAGCTCAGCAGCTAAGAGCACTTGCTGTTCTTCCAGAGGACCTGAGTTCAGTTCTTAACAACCATAGTGCAGCTCACAACTACCTGTAACTTCAGGTCTAGAACATCTGTCACACTCTTCTGATCTCCACATGTACGTGCATACATGTACACACACACACACACACACACACACACACACACAAATAATTTTTAAATGAATCTTTATTTTTAAAAAGGGAAAAAAAATGAAAATTCTTCCTACTCATCCTGGAATGTTCCAGATGGCCAGAAACAGGGAAAATGACAGTGAGGCTAACTCCTTTCCCCAAGGACATCACTCATTGACCCAAACTTAGATCATCATTTCTAGCTGCAAGGGAGTCTAGAAAACAGATCACTCAGCAGGTGACACTCAGCTGTGCTTCAGGGTTCCTGTAATCGATGTGAAACAGAAGGGAATGTGGGCTTGGGGGACAGCTAAGACGGTGAAGCGCTCTCCAAGCAAGTAGGAGGTCCCAAGTTTCATCTCCCAGAACCTACATGAAAACATTCAGAACGGGGGCTGGCAAGGCAAAACCAGGAGGATCCATGGGGCTCACTGGCCAGCCAGCCTGGAACAATCAGTGATCTCTGTATTCGGTGAGAGTCTCAAAAAATAAGGTAAAGAGCAGCTGACATTGACGCCTGGCCGACACACTCACACACCCATACACACATGATACATGAACCTATACAAACAGGTAACCCCATATACACTTAAGAAAAGAAATAAAAAGGAAAAATGCCATTACTAATGAAGAAGAGAGCAAACGGTGCTGGGAAGCAAATTCTGGTCTGTGCTTCTCATTTTTTTTATAGGATTTAGTTTCATTTCAAGACCGAAGAGTAGTTGGCCAGGCTTCCAACTCTGTTTCAGGTCCAGGGAAGGTTCAGTCATTCTATGATTATCTGCATTCTAATGTGATGAATGAATTGTAGTTGGACAGAAACATTAGCTTCACAGACCAGTGTCCAGGAACTTAGAGATCATGGCTGTTTATATCTCAGGCTGACTAGGAAGTCAATACTTCATCTTGGCTTTGTAAAGTTTTGCTAGGCTGTTAAATTTTTATTGGGTTTTGGAAATATAATATCCCTGTGCAATGACTATGCTGATTAAATCATAGTCTTTTACATTTATTTTGTGTGTGCGCGCATGGAGGGCACACATCTGGAAGTCTGAGGACAACTGGCTGGAATCATTTCTTCCACCATGTGGGCCTTCAGGGGATTGAACCCAGGCCGTTTACACATTGAACCATCCCTCCTCCTCCTTCCTCTTCCTCCTCCTCCTCCTCCTTCTCTTCTTCCATAAATTTCTCCCTTTCTTTATCTTCAAGTATGTGAAGGTACAGTTTGGAGTTCCTCGTTGCTGCAGACATTACTTCAATTCCCCCCACACACACTGTGTTGTCTCCAGATCCTTTGAAACAAAGTTGCCAAAACAGTTAATTGCCTTCCCATTTACATGGCTAATGTCTGGCGGCTTGTTTTTTCAGCATGCCCTCTAAGCTAACTTCTCCGAAGGAAGGCAAGAGAGAATTATACATAATGTCTTCTTTTATCTTGAAGAATTATGTATGAAAAATTACTGAACAGATAATTTAGAAACTTTTTTCTTAAGACTAAAGAGATCACTTATAGTCTTCTGCTTTTTTGTGGTAATTAAAACAACAACAAAACAATTTTATTTTAGTGATAGATAAACTTGTCTATGACATATTATGGGTTATCGTTCATACCTTGGGTTTCCTATGTGCCCTAGTTCTTTTTTGAGGTAAAGAACCTACATTAAAAAAAAAAAAAATTCCCAAAGAGAGCCAGAGTTACAGTGTTTAATATAATGGATCCAAAACAAGATTGGACCAGTGTTGATCGATGCCATGTGTCAGGTTTCATTTCCTGGGTCTGGCATTCTAGTTAAATTAAAGCTCTAGGCCATTGCTACTCTGTTGGGGGGGGGCAGCTTTACATGATAGCATGGGACTTTGATGAGAAGCAAGGCCCCATCAAGATTTGGGGGAGGACAGTGGACATGAAACAGAATTGCTTTTAAAAAGGACAGTAATAATAAAGTACAATGATATGATGGACCAAGAAAGAATAACAAGAGAACTAAGATTAGGATAGGTTTGGAAGGGTGTGGGAGGCACTCCACATAACGGGCCCCGGCAGCTCTAGCAGAGACACTGCCTCATGAGCGGAGGCACTTGTGCTTTGAAAGGGACGTTCTACACAGCGGAGAACGTCCCTTTCAAAGCACAAGTGCACTGAAGAGGAAGTCTTTTGTGCTTAGTTTAGAAAAATACTAGTAAACTAATTAACGTCCTTAGCAATTTAGACGTGGTTCTGTCTTCCCTCGACACTGTGGATGCGTTCCTGAAGGGCTGTGAGGAAAAACAACTGTGAGCAACAACTGTGAACTCAGCCATGTTCAGAGCGTGGAGAGATGGCTCTTGGCAATGTACAATTAAGTGGCGTTGAACAGCTACCCTCCCCCCATCCGCCACCACCCCTGGTTCCCCAGTGTAGTGGCCCTGTGGTAAGCAGTCTGAGGTGGTCACAGCTAAGCAGCAGGGTGGAGCTTGAGCCCATCAGAATACTGGAAATAGTGTTGAGACCTGAAGGAGCATTGAATTTTCCCCCATCCCTCTGCCTCATCTTCTAAGGACATTTCACCCAACCCCTGACAACAGAGCACCCACAATCCACAGCAGCCACACAGTGTTGGTGGGCACCAGTACCCTACCACTTCCAGAGCATTTTGTAAGTTGTCAATTTAGTGTCATATATATGTATATATCAGTGCATTTTACTCTGCGTAACCAGGTGAACATTCCCCTTTGGGGCAGGGCAGAAACGGGAAATCAAATCCTGCTGGTTATACATAATGCTGACTGGGTAGATGGCTAGGGAACTGGCCCGAGTTCCCGTCACTGTTCTGAGATCCACCAGGTGTGAAGACGGCCTGTCCCGCAGCTTGTGAACTCTGACGCAGTTTTCCTTTGTTCTCTAGAGTGTCTGAAACCCCCGTCCAGCTCTCCAATGGCCAGCAACAACACCGCCAGCATAGCACAAGCCAGGAAGCTGGTAGAGCAGCTGAAGATGGAGGCCAACATCGACAGGATAAAGGTGAGGGTGACGTCATCTGCCGCTCATCCAGCTTGACTGAGGAGCAAATGTCTTGCAGCCATTTGACGGGTTTCCCATGGAGGTCGATAGTATCAGGAAGGATAGGAGCTGGGTCTCACACCCTCACTCATACTCATCTCTCTAAGATGTCTCTGCCTCCCCGGGGTTTCCCAGTGTAAAATGACAGCATGCGTTGACACAGGTCTCTCTCTGTGTGTTGAATCAGAAACAAATACCACAGCAAAAGAAAAACGGGCTTGGGCTGAGCTCCAGCCAAGGAAATGAGTGAGCACTTGAGACACCCAGCCTGACCCAATAAAGACATTTTCCTCACTCTGGGTTCTAACTTGCTCTGTCCCATTCACTATCTAAGACTAAGTGCCTATTTTACAAGTCTAATCTGTTTTATTCATTCACCACTGAAAAAGTTTTCATCTTTATATCTTACTGGATTTTTTTCTTCAAAGTACAAGAGTCACAATTGAGGCCTAAGTAGATGGTTTGGGGGTGAAGTGCCTTCTGTACAAGCAAGGGGACTTGAGTTTGCATCTCTAGCACCCTCACAAAAAGTCAGGTTTGGGGGCCTGCAAGATGGCTTAATGGTAAAGCTGCTAGTTACCAAACTCAATCATGAGTTCAGTCTCCAGAACCCACTTAGTAAAGAAGAGAATTGACTCCCTCTGCCCTCTACAGGTGCACTGTGGAACACACACACACACACACACACACACACACACACACACACACACCACATACCACCACCACCACCATCACCACACCACACACCACATACATGCAACACATCATAACACACTACACACAAACCACACCATATCACACACAACACCACACCAGGACACACCACACACACACACACATACACACACACAAAATACCACATCATACCATACACCACACTACATACCACATCACACACACACACCACACCATACACACTCATACTATACCACACACACACCCCACACCACAAAACACCACACACAGACAACACCACACCATACCACACACTACATCACACACCACAACACACCATACCACACGCACCACATACACACACACAAAAAAAGCACCACATCATACTACACACCATACACACCACTTCACATACCACCCCCCCCACACCACACCACATACCACAACATACCACATCACGTACCAACACATATCATACCACATTTATACACATACACACACCACATACACCACATACATACACACACACCATACCACACCACACACACAAACACACAGCACACGAGGGGAGCAAAGTAAATAAATGTAAAAAGGAAAAAAAAACGGATGTGTTAATGCGCAGAAATGCAGATCTCAGGGACTTGCTAGCCCAACAGTTACAGAAACAGCGAACTCTAGGTTCCGTGAGAGACCCTGTCTCAAAAGCTAAGGTGGGCAGTGATGGAGGAGGATGTCTGGCATTCACCCCTGTTCTCCACATACACACGCACAAACACAAAGTCACACTTGGTCTCCAAAAACAAAACAAAACAAAAAAACCAGCATAGAAGTTTAACGAAAGTTAGTAATCTACTTTTTCTTCCATGCCCCAGACTTGTTCAGCTTGTTGAGGCTGACTTAGATGCAAGGTTTTTGTTCAGATCATTTATTTAGCATATTTCGAATGTGAAGTTAACCCCACTATGTCATTATGAATAGACAGCTATTATAGGATGGATTACCAGGAAGGTAGATTTTTGTCAGTCATCAATTTTACTTTCTCAAAAGCATTTTAGGAAACGGAACTCAAAGAAAAATAGAACATTATTCCAAATGTCTTTTTTCATTTATTTTTATTATTAAGATATTTTCTATTCATTTTACATACCAACCATAGATTCCCCTCTCCTCCCTCATCCCGCCCCCCAGCCTTCCCCCTCAACCCACCCCCCATCCCCACCCCCTCCAAGGCAAGGTCTCCCATGGGGAGTCAGCAGAGCCTGGTACATTCAGTATTTAAAAACTACAGTATTTTTCTACTTTTTTTTCCCTCTACCTTAAAAAGTTTGGATTGTTCAGCAGATGCATTGGGGTATGCAGTAGGCAATAAAATGTGGCTCGGGACTGAATTCCAACCCATGGTCTGTCTTTATGAATAAAGTATTATTGGAACACACATATACTCATCCATTTATATTTTGTGTGTGGCTTCACACTCCAACCACAGAACAGAAGTGTTATCAGGGATCATGCAGTCCATAAGACTCTGAATAATGACCTTCTGTCCCTTTATGATGCAAGTTTGCTGGCTCCTGGTTTAGAACAATTGTTCTCAGCCCGTCTGTGTGTTCACGTCACCCAAAGGGTTCTATAAACAGACCAATTCCCAAACCACACTAAAAGGAAAACCAATTAAATTAGGATCTCCTGGGTTTAGGATTCAGGCATCAGTATTTTTTTGTATCTTCAGCTAATTCCAATATACAGCCACCGCTAAGAACCGCCACCTCCAGGCAAGTGGTTGGAGCTGTCTCACCAGATTTGCTCAGTCCTGGATAGTGGAGGGAGGCCTCACCCACCTCCATAAAGAAGCTGGGCGGACATCGTTGGACATTTCCCCATCCACTAGAAGCCTCCTTTGTAAGCTCAGACTCCTGGGGATGGGCCATACCACAATCAGATCCTGCTCCGTCGTCCCTGGCGTTCATCCTTCCCTGCTCGTGAATGAGATGGGGGCTCCTTCCTGTGTGTTTTCTTCCTCTGCCACTTTCTGGCTTCTCCTCCTTCGCTGCTCTTCTTTTTCATCCCCCTACTGAAAAAGTACAAAGAGACCATCAGGCATTTGACTGATCGGAGAGGAGAGGTGGCCGAGAGACTGCTGTATCCTTCCCTCTATGGGGGACAGAGGCTCCACCCATCCTCCTCCTGAGAAAGAGTGGTTTTGCCATCTCTGCAAAGCTCTGCTGTGGTTGGCATTTTCTACCACTCCTCAGAATCCCCAGACACTGGTCCTGAAGGAGAGTGTGATGTCCCGATGGGTGATAAAAATGACAGCAAGAGAGGGTGCTGAAATGACCTCTTCAGCCAGGCCATCCTTCCCGGAACCCTTGGCTGCAATGGCTCCTGTCTGGTCCCCGCAGTCTGCTCAAACCCACGTCCACCAGGCCGACAGGTGCCTGGGACAGAGCTGCCAAAGAAAACACTCCAGAGGAAAATGTCATCATGTTCCTCTCGCACTGAAAACTTGACTATACCACAGCTCCCCATCCTTTGTACAATGAATCTCAGACTCTTTAATGGAAACTACAGAGCTCCTCTGTGCGTCTCCTCAGCTTTATTCCCCTTTCTCTTACCCACACTGGTCATATCAACCACTTTTGATTCCCTCGAAAGGAACCTCAAAGCTTTGAATGTCCTACATCTTCCCCTTCCCCTTTTCGCTTTATTCATGGGAAATGGCACTGATTCCCTGAAGAGTCAGACCAAATCATTGGGTTCTTGGTAAAGGTCTCCAGGACCTTCCCTGTGAGGTTGGACTTGTCATCTGTCCATACTCATCTATTTGTCTAATGAATATTTTATTGAGATTTTCTATGTTGTCAGTACTTATTAGGTTTTAGAGGTAGAAATGAGCAGATATGGGTCTTACCCTCGATAATGTGCCGTATAGTGAGGGGTTACAAAAGGTCTGAACAAGACCGACTATCAGAATGAGCAAATACATCAGGGAAGCATAATTACCAAAGGTGTCAAAGCCAACTCCTGATTGCCCTTTCAAGAAGCATAAATAAATAGCTACTGAGAGAGAGAGAGAGAGAGAGAGAGAGAGAGAGAGAGAGAGAGAGAGAGAGAGAGAGAGAGAGAGCGCCTAATAAACCGTGCACCCAGCGGCCACTTGGCAGGCGATCTTCACAGCTGCATCTCTGACTTCTTCTTGATGTCACCAGACCTTCTGATGATGGAAACCCAGCAGCAGCCTGTACTAGGGCGTTTGTTCTGCACCACACAGCCAGGCGGGCGTGCTGTGGTGACAGATTATTTTTAGTTCCCCTGTTGGCTAACACTGTGACTACATTGACACTGTTGTCAGCCAGCTGGTTATCTGCTTTCAGGGGTCCGCCAAGGGCTTCGAGGTTTCTAGCTTCCCTTCCTACTTTCTGTGCATGAGCCTGTCAGGGAGAGGGGCTTTTTGAAAGATGCCAGGCTGGTGATTTTCCAGTGACAGCAGGAACCTCAGCTTATGATCACTTTATGCACATCTGGAAGAACCAGCGGCAGCTGAGTTGACATGAGTAGGACCCTGAACAGCTGCAGCCGGAGTTTCTAAAGGTCTCACAAGCACCTTATCCCGAGGGTAGCCTCCAGAGTAACCCAGCCTGCTCCACTGGACCTCAATAACATGTTCTTGTTTTGAAACTTTTCTTGTTTTCTAGCCTTTGTATCACATGTCCTGGGGGATTCGGACTAATAAAACCCTTCTCTGTTCAGAAGCCCCAGACATATATCAATGATGCTTCCTTTTGGCCTTTCTCTATTTCTCTGTTAGCATTTCCTTCAAGGATAGGAAGTAAAATCAAGGGAGTCAAAGTGGACGAGAATGGAGGGGCTGTGAACAGTGACGCTTAGATCTCTAAAGCAGGACGTAGACAAACACTAGTAGTGGAATAAGGGGGTGCAGGAGGAGGGAACATGTACCGAAGCAGAGGACAGCGGGGGTCAGGAACTACCGTATTATCACCACATTAGGACTCTTCCGGTATCAAATAGAAACCGGAAGTGATCTAGCTCAGGCAGAAAGAAAGGATTAATTATAGATGGTATGAGGTGTCTTAGAATCCAGGATAGAAATGCAGCGGTGTCAGCCATACAAGGGACAGCTAGAAGCCACCGGGAACTGCGAGTGCTCCATCGTGAGCCATTGCCTCTCCTACCGTCTGTGTTTCCTGGGAAGAGTGGGTTTCTCAGCTGTCTGGTGCTTACAACAGACACAAGATGGCCACCCACTGCTCCCAGGGTAACGGAGACTC